CACAGGGATGAAGAATGGCTCAATGGTTAAGAGCATGTGCTGACCGGGGTCAGTTCCCAGTACTGACATCTGGTGACTCACAACTCCAGTTCCAGGGGATCCAAACATCTTTGACGTCCTTAGGCACCTACACTCACACAAATACACATGGTTTTAAAAAGTCACCATCATCCTAATACTTCTCTGCTGGGCCCTCCCACTGTCCACCGGAGTCGGGCACATGGCTCACTGATGCACAGGGCTTCCCTTGCGTTTTTCCAGCGTGCTGTAGCTCACGTCGTTGTGGCTCTGCTTGTTCCCAGCATTCCCAGTGCCACCATTTCCTACCAGATGCTGGAGTGGCCTCATGACCACCTAGGCAAGGGTTGTTTGACTCTGCTTCGCCTTTTCTCCATTTCTCCCGACACTGAACGGTCACAGAGATTCCGTTTCTTCGTGAAGCATCCCTAACTGTCACACTCCTAGGTCCATTTCAATTGGCTGTTTTCTGCTTCTCTGCCTGCCGGACACTATGACTTCTTGGTTTCTTGGGTGATGGATAGTTCTGGGTCTCCACATATTCTTGGGTTTTGCTATTGAGTTATTTGAACAGCTTGATTCTTTGGGAAGTTGCTTCTGAGCTTTATCAGATACAAAAGGTTCCAAGGGCTTCCAAGGGCATCTCTGTTCTGCCAACTGGGAAGTGGGGTGGGGGGTGCAGGTGTGATGAATATTGTCAACTTTACAGGACAACCTAAAATCACCTAGGAGACAAGCCTCTTGGGCATGTCTGCTGAGGGAATTTCTAAATGAGGTTAATTAGGTAGGGAGATTCACTCTAAACGTGGGCACGACTGTCCCATGGGCTGGGGTCCTGGAGGGAACAGAAAGACAGCAGGCTGCACACTAGCACCATCTCTCTGCTTCTTGACTGGATGAAATGTGATCAGTTGCTTCACATTCCTGCTGCGGTGGTGGACAGCATTCTCAAACTGTGGGCCAAAGTGAACGCCTCTGTTCAAGTTGTTCTTGTCAGGTATTTCAACTACAACAAGAAAGGTAACTAACACCTCAGGCTCCTGGGCATGTGTGTGTCTACCACACTTGCAGAAGTCGGAGGCCAACTCAGGTCAGCAGGCTTAGTGGTGCGTGCCTTTACCACTGAGCCATCGTGCTGGCCCCAAGCTGTAGAATCTTAGTCCTTTGTCAGGCACGTGTTTTCCCACGTCTGTGGCTTCCCATCTAACTCTCATGAGTATCTTCTTGAAAACATTCTAAAAAGGGATTTATGCTCCCCTTATTTCCAACCTCTCTCAGTAATACAGCAAAACAGCAATCTCATGATACATAACCTAAGGGCTCAGCAGCTAAGAGCACTGACTGCTCTTGCAGAGGACCTGGGTTCAGCACCCAACACCCACATGGTGAATAACAATTGTCTGCAACTCCAGGTCCAGATTTGACACCCTCTTCTGACCTCTGTGGGCACTGCATGACACGGGTGCACTTACATACAGGCAAAACATTCATGAAATAAAAATAAATACAAAATTCTTAAGGATGCATAAATTAACATCTCAATGTTTTTGGAGGTAATCCACTTCACAAGATAAAATTTAATAGGCACAGCTATTTCCTGCCTGTTTTTCACTGTTTGAATGTTTTGTCAATCAGTAGATGCCACAGACAGGCCACAGGCTAAGAAGGACATCGAATACTCCCTTCATGGAGAGCGGCGCACAGCTGTGGAAACCAGACTTGACCATGATGGCAGGCTGGACACCAACTGCCCTCCATGGGGCGGACCTCCATGGAGCGGTCCTAATAAGCAAAAACCCCAGGTCCCACACCTGGAAGGGAGTGTTTACTGCTGCAACAGAAAAGCCGACTAGGACTAGAACAGGAACTGTCATCTCAGCTAAGGTTGTCTGCACTATTCTAAGCCCTCATTTCCACGTGTGTAGAAATTCTGCTGGAATTCTGATTGGACCCAGCACCCACACTTGGAGCAGCATGCAGGTCTCCTGGCCAGTCCCTGCCTTCTCCGATTTCAACATGAGGATCCTAGGGTTGGAGTTGTCAACCTGAATCTAGAACCACTGGGAGCAGGCCTCTGGCATGCCTGTGTGACTGAGTGCATTAGCTGAAGGCAGCACTGTGGGTAGCTTGATACCCCTGGCTAGGACCCTGGACTGTGTAAGTGGAGAAGGGAGCTGAGCACAGCATGCATTCACCACTCTGCTCTCCGACTGGATGTGATGTGATCAGCTGCTCAGGCTCCTGCTGCCCTGACTTCCCCTCCATGATGTATGGCCCCTTTGAACTGTGATCCAAAGTAAACCCTTTCTCCTTGAAGTGCTTTTGTCAGCGTGTTTTATCACAGCAACAGAAGGCAAATAAGATCGTAAAGAAGATAGTCAACAGCCTTCATACTCTGGCTTCTCTTCAGACTGTACAAGTCTTTTGCCTTTTTAAAAAATATTCTTATTGGCCGGACATGGTAGCACATGCCTTTAATCCCAGCACTCGGGAGGCAGACAAGCAGATCTCTGTGAATTTGAGGCCAGCCTGGTCTACACAGTGAGTTCCAGGCTAGCTGGGGCTACAGGGAAATCCTGTCTCAAAAAGACAAAAAATGTATTTTATTATTTTTATTTTGCGTGTATGCATGTATTGCCTGCATGTAAGTACACCCGTGTCATGAAATGCCCACAGAAGTCAGAAGGCTCTGGATCCCCTGGAACTGGAGTTAGGGATGGCTGTTAGCCACCATGGGGCTGGGAATTGAACCCGGGTCCTCTGCAAGAGCAACCTGTGCTCTTAACTGCTGAGCCATCTCTCCAACCCACTCTTTTGCCTTATTTATGTGTGTGCATGTATTGCCTGCATGTAGGTAAGTGCACCCATGTTGTGCAATGCCCGCGGAGGTTAGAAGAAGCTGTCGGATCCCCTGGGACTGGAGTTACGAACAGTTGTTAGCTACCATGTGGGTGCTGGGATTCGAACCTGGGTCTTCTGCAAGAACAACCAGTGTTCTTAACAGCTGAGCCATCTCTCCAGCCCCTTTTGCCTTTTTTAAACAGCCTTCATTAATGCATCTCGGTATTCGTTCTGGTGCTCTGAAACTTTCTAACCATTTGTCACTAGTATGCAGAATCACAGTGTGGCTGCTGGTCTTGCTTACAGCACTGAGTTCAAATGCCACCTTCAGTCAAGTATCTAAGGTGCTGCATTCAGTTGTATTACCTTTAATTCCCACTTCCCCTTCAAACTCCGTCCTTTTTCTTTCTTGCCTCATGCTGGAATGGAACTGTCAGAACCCCAAGTGGAAACTGCAAGGCAGGAGGACTCACTGGCCTCCACGCCCTGGTGCACAAATAGCCAAATGGGACCTGGGGTGAATCCTGACATGCTCACGAGCCAGCCGCTAGCCTGTGGAGGAGCCCAACGGCAACACCTCCACGGCAGGATCACCTCACGTGGTGCAGGATCGCCTCACGTGGGGGTGGAACTGAGTCTTCACGGTGGCTGCCCGGAGGAAGATAAAACTAGGTCAATCAAGTTTGGAGAGACGGCTCAGTGGTCAAGAGCACTTGCTGGGGACCTAGGTTTGATTCCCAGAACCCACATGGAGGCTAACCACCATCTATAACTCCAGTTCCAGGGGATCTGATGCCCTCTTCTGACCTTCATGGGCACTGTACGACACAGGTGCACTTACACATGTGCGGGCAATGCACTCATACACAAACAATGAAAATAAATTTTAAAACTAGATCAAGCACACTTGCAGAAAAGTGGGCATCCTTTACCCAGTTGATTCCAGGCCATGAAACAGAGTAAGAGGTGGTGAGGAGGCAGGAGTTGGGTCCCACAAACCCACTGTTCTCTACAACTTCCTGTCACGGTCCTCAAAACTCAGGTCTTGTTTCTTGTCCTGCTCGACACCACAGGCGTATGTACTCAACGGTGCTCTCTCCTTTCCAGTCTTTTCTGCTGCTGTGACAAATACCATGACCAAAAAGCAGGTTGAGGAGGAGAGCATTATTCTATAGTCCACCATCAAGGGAAACCAGGGCAGCCGCTCAAGGCGAACGAACTATGGAGGGACGCGGCTGGCCTGCTGCCAGGCCAGGTAGTGTTCAGCTGCCTTTCTTCAACAGCCCAGGCCATTGCCCAGGGATGGCAGCAACCACAGTGGGCACAGCCTGTCTACATCAACTAGCAATGCAAGAAAGTGCCCATAGACATGTTCGCAGACTAATCTGATGGAGGAAATTCTTCAGGTGAAGTTCCCTCTTCCCAGGTGTTTGTGAAGCTGGGAACCAAGATCAGCCTTCACACCTTTCAAAGCACAGGGGCACCCCAGCCCCAGAACCTCCAGATGGTATTTGGGGTCTTTGCTGAGGCAATCAGGCTAACACAGGGTTGCACAGATGTCCCTGACCCTATAGGGTTCTTGTTCTCACAGAACAAATAGACCAGGTCCAGGGGCTACCGACAGAGGGAAAGGCAGAGGCAGGGCTGCTTCTCCATGTCCAGGACCATCCCACAGCCTCGGAAGCCCCCCACCACCACCACACCTGAACTTCCGGCCTCCAGCCACCCTGCTGAGCTCCATGGCCCCTGGCCTGTGGCCTCTGTCACTACAGGTGTAGGAGACCAGGACATCAGGGATGTAAAGAGGATGGAGCTCTGCAGGTAAGCTTATGTCCTTCTGCAGGTCCCCGAGAGCAGGTAGGATAGAAGCACTATGTGGGGACCGGCCCCAGTTATACTGACTCAGACGGCTGAGCCTCCAAACACAACTCCACCTCATTGGGAGCCGGGGTTCCCCGTGACCACTACACACGGGGTGACAGAAACCCCACACCAGTCGAGTGGACAGAGAGCAGAGCGCTGGCTCAGTATCCAGCCCCAATGGTGAGGCCCATCCTCTCTACGCACTAGATATACCTCAATAGGACCAGAGTGGAGTCTCTGTCAGTGTTATCAGAAACTAGAAAAATAAGCAAGACCAATACAGATAAATTTGTTTTTAATAAAGGAGTTAATTTTCTTTCAATCCTATATAAAACAATAGCAATTAAAAACTTCATTTTCGAAAGTAAAATATTTACATATGAACAAGTAACTGTGCAAAATTTACATGAAAAAATGGAAAGACGGGGATCTCCTAAAAGTTAAAATAAAAGGTGTAACAGTTCTCAGGTGTTGGTAAAAATACTGATCAGCGTTCAGTTCACACGCGCGAATTAAAGTCTAATGTGGGAATCCACACGGAAGAAGCCAAAGTATTTACAGTCATAAAAGTACTATCAATAGACAGTGTAATACAATAACCTCTGAAAATATAAAGAACCAATTAGTATATTTGTAATAAAAAAATAGGTACAAAGACAGGGCTTTGCTCTGGATGCCTGTGAAGTTGGCCACAGCTTGCATACAGTCTCTTAGCAAAATAATTATAGTTTACATAGCCATTTTATGTTATGTGCCAGAAACTATGTACAATTACTGACAAAATACACCAACCATTTCAAACACTTGATTCACACTGAGAAAGTCTGCTGATGATTCTTCTCAATTTTGATTCTCTTTCATCTAAGTTTTTACTTTGAGCTAAAAAAACACAGTGCAAGTAAAATAGATTTATGCTGAAAAGGTTCTCGTTCCCTTCACTTTACAGCTTCACAAACTGCCGCAGATAAAATGCATTTGTACAGATGCTGAGCCCGGCCTCCGCTAAGCGGAAAGGCGGCCTGCTCAGAGTGACGGCGCTGCAATGGTTGTGTTTTGGGGAGTTTCAGAGAAGGGAGGGCAGGGGACAGGAAAGAAGATAAATAGTCTAAAAAATCAGTTTGCTTAGCCAACTGACTGCTACAAAAATAAAATAAGTGAAATGAGGTCATCGGCTGTAGACACACACCTACGCCTAAGTCCGAGTGCACTGAACCAAAACGCACACAGGATGCAGGGACTGCTAATTATTTGCTACGTGCTTCCATCAGTCTTAAATATGGCTTGTTTGGCAAGAAGGCCACTCCGTCGAGGATGAGCTCGGGCAGCTGTCCTGTAAGAGCATCCACAGGCCTTCGTGTCTGCTACAGACACGGGTTTCTGCCGCACTGAAGAGCTGATTTAGAAACAGGAGTATAAAACTGCTCCATTGTAAAGAGGTGGCTGTTTTTAAACAATATCCCATTTGCTCATTACAAACAGGCGTAATCTGCAAATATATAAAAACGTCCGCAAGCGTCTCCTGAGAAACACCAGCTCGTCCTGTCACTTAAGGAATGCTTTGTAGAGCAACAGTGAATGGCTTGTCTCGCGCTCATTTTCTAAACAAAATATGAGGTCCCTGAGGTTGACCCGCGTGATTCTTTGTCGCGTGAACTGTCTGGGGGTTCCCACGCCGGAGCTGCCTGGGACCACCGCACCTGGGCCCGAGCCCTGGTGATGAGAAGAAGACAGGCATTAGTGGCACTCAGAGGTGAGAAAGGGTGATTCAAGTACCCCCTAAGCATCCCAAGGCCCCAATTCTAGAGAAACAGCATGGCACTGCCCTTCCCACAGGCCCAAGGCTAGAGTGGATGTGCTATGTTAATCCCTGCCATGGGCAGAAACCCCCTACTCTATAGCACACCCAGGACACTACCCTCCAATACCCTCTGATACCCCAGAGACTGTCCCTGGGTGGGAGAAAGGGCTAAGCGGTGGCTCCCGTCCATCCAGAGGCTCTGAGGCATGCAGCCCCCAGCTTCCACTGGGGCTCAGGTGAGGGGACAAAGCCCCCACCAATGCCACACCAGGGGCTGTGGCCATCCCTGCTTGGCTGGCAGAAGCACTAGGCCTAGATTCCTGGGCTGGGTGGACTGCCAGTCAGCTGGAGAGGTCGAATGCTCAGTGGTTGTGATCGTGCTCCATGACCAAGGAGAGGGGCTAAATGTTCCTGACTGGGCCCCACTGCAGACCTCCTGCCCCAGGACCACAGCTATCTAGTGAGCTAACCCAGCTGTCTTTCAGGATGCACTGGGGCTGAGTATTTGGCCACTAAGCAGTGGTATCAACAGTTTATCACATCACTGCCTCCATCCAAACCATGCTGGACTCAAACCACAGGATCCCAACAGGCAACTCTCGCTCACTGCTCAGCAGAAAACTGGGTGTACGCCTTGCTGGCCGCGCTGCTTGCGTATACTCAGGTGCACACACGGCTATGGTGTCCTTAATGTGCTCTACAGACAAAGCTCCAGAAGCTGGAAGCAACATATTCTACCCAAGAGGTCACAGGACCCCAGCGCTAGCAGGTGGCAGTTTCGGGAAGCTGGCAGGCCAGGCCTTGTGCAAGGTATGCCTCATGGCCTGGCCAGTTTCTTCATGTGTCTGCAGTCAAAATAGAGATGGTGTACATTCCTCAGATGCTGTGAGCCACCACCATCAATCTTTGACCCCGGTACCCACCATCACCTTGGTGGCCATGTCCTTCTGAGTAGACAACTCCTTGGGTTTTGGTGGCTACATCCCCCAAGGAGCATTTCGTCATGAGCTCAGTGAAGCCGCTTGGAAAGCTTCAGTGAAAATAAGCAGTCAGAAAAAATGAGAAAAAGGTCCATCTCCCTGAAGCCACCTCTGGCAACACCTGGGCCAACAGGCAGGTGACTGTCCCTCAAAGGGTATCTTCTTGTTCAGGACAGGAGCCACAAGCCAGTTTCTGGAAAGGAACCAGTAAAGGAGCTCCACGGCCAAACCAAGGCTGGGTGAGGGCGGAGGACTCACTCACCTCAGGCACAAAGTTTAAGAATTGCTAAAGGTTAGAAATGGAGACAAACATGATCAAACCGGTACCATAAACCTGCTGATGAGTGTTTGCACTGACAAGACCTGGGCAGCTCCTTTCAGCCACATCCAACCAAGGCCTCAGTCTGCCAGTAGAGCTGCCAACAGCTAGACCCAATCAGACAAGGGTCGCATGATAACATGCACCCCAAGTTCTCACTTGTGCTCTAGGGGTCTCACAAACAAACAGCTGGATGTGCACTGTGTCATAAAACCCCAAGCGCAGGCTAAGGCACAGCACACTGGATGAGTGGGCAAAGAGAGAGAATCCCTACTTGTGCTTCTCCCCAAGCAGGGAGCAAGTCACTGCTACGGGGCTGGCCACAGCAAGGGGAACCTGACCCTCAGCCTCAGGACCAGGCCGCAGAACTCTGCTCAGCTGACTATGCTGTGTTCTCACAGCAGAGTCAGCAGCTCCTTTCCTGAGCAGACACAGAATCCTCAGGGCTCTGGGGGAGGTCCCTTGGGGCCCTAGCTGGAAGTCCAGGGAGAATCATGAAAGGGGTAAATGCAGCCTTAGGATTGAAGCTTCTGCTCATAGCCCCAAGCAGGGACCCACAGAAACCAGGAGGCATGTACCAGCACACACACAAGAACTGAAACCTTGACACTAACTACAGCTCAGAGAGCTCTTCCGGGTGCTCATTAAGTCACATGGACAGGGGCATGTGCGCGTGCACACACACACACACACACACACACACACACACACGGTGGACACACCAGTAAACCCACACACACACACGCGATGGAAACACCAGTAAACCACACAC